AATCAATCAGATCACCACCCTCACCACACAACACACCACTCCACCCTCCCCTCCCAGCCTCCCACCTCCCACCTAATCCCTGCCTCACCCTGGTCTCCCCACCCCACGTAATCCAACCCACCTAATCCACCCCCCCCCCCCCGGCCAAACCCCACCAAACGCCGCCGAGGCCGCTGTGCCCTTCTGGCGCTTGCTCACCTCCTGCGCCAGGGACGCCGCCTTGTCCAAGCTCGCGCCCGTCAGCGCCACCTGCGGACCACCGTCTTCAAAGTTGGCTTCAAGGGAAACCCACTGGGTCAAAAATACTGCGGATGGACGAAATCCTGCACCACCTAAGACGCCCTGGAATGATGATTCCCCTGCTCTCACCAATAAACAATGGTTTCCCATAGTTTCAAAGTGGTGCAGGATTTCGTGCATCTACAGTAGTTCGCCTCAAAATGCCGAAAAATTCCGCCAGTTTGACATTTCCCTTTACAAGCTGGTTTCAAGGGAAACCAACTCGCTTCCTGCGTGGATGGGCCAACAACAGTGTAAACTGGTTGTTTGTTGAATCGTAGGTACCGAAAAGGCTTGCCCTGGGAAATGGACCAAAACCTGCGGTCCTCTGGGTCCTTTTGTGGTTTTATTCTGACCCATACCCACATTGTTTTTGCTGGATGCCTATGACACATGCGCGGAACGCGCCTTGTAGAGGAAAATGCATTTGCCAGGCTAGGAGGGTACAATATGCGGTTCACCTTGACTATAGCCCATGTCATTTACATGTATTGGCCCAGGTCACCAGCTTTTGTCGGACAACTTCCTTGCAGAAAAAGGGCCAGGCTGAACTCAATGGAACCCAATTCAGGTTTACCACCGGTTTGGATTTGGACTTGATCCCCCTTTGGACGGATGGGAAACCTCCCTGAACTGGTGGCTTGGAAGCTCACAATCAGCTCAAGTCCCGCCTTGGCCCGAAACTCAGGGCTGATCGTTGCAGGCATAGGGGGCCTTTTGGAAAAATAGATGGGTTTTTTTTTGGTGAATGGAATCAACCCCATCTAAACCAGGAATCGCCCTCTATCTGTTTAAGCAAACCAACCAAAAAGGACACCTATGGTTGCCCCGCTGTCTCAAGCACGACTATCGAGCCTCGATGTACGCATTGGCCGAGAAGATCTCGAAGTACCTCTCGTAGACGAAGACCAGACAGGAGCAGCAGCAGTAGATGACTTTGCCCACGCAGTTCGTCTCGATCCTCGCCTGCCGAGGATCAAAAAATGGCTGTGGGTCAAAACCAATGGTACCATTTTGGGGTAGGTGCACCACCCATTCTAGTCTATTTTAAAGGGGATTGGCATGTTCACTGGGGGTACGGGATTTTGACCCATGCCCAAATATGTGCCTTCTTTAATTAGTTTGCCACCAAATGGCCGTGTTCGTTTTGGTTCCCTTCAAAAAAAAGCCATGGGTCATAGCAAAGAAAACTCTAGAAACTAGTGACCATGCGTGACAAGAATTCTTGCCGGTCGCTGAACAAGCACTTCGAACAGGGCTTTCACGTTGCTGATGGGCATGCTCATATTTGACTTCAAGCGGAGCCAAAGCGACTTAGTGCCAGTGAGTACGGAGAATTTTCGCCTGCCTGTGCCTCAGACTCCAGTTGCAAAAAAACAAAAAACAAACACCCACTGTCCCTATCCACATGACGCTTTTGTCACGGCATTCCCTTGGCCAAAAAGCCAAATGGGCGAGGTCAAAAGAAGTACCCAGAATGGACCCCTGGTACATGGAAAGGACTAAAACCTGCGATGCCTGAATTTGGACCCATACCCAAATCACAGGTTCCCGTGGCACCTGAAAAAACAAACACAACGAAGAAAAAAAAACGAGGCCCTTGACTGAAGCCGGAATATCCCTCGCTACCTTTCGATCGGGGCACTGCGGCGGTGATGCTCCCCAAGGCGAAGCGAAACGGGCGCAGCGTGCCTCGCGCTGTATTTTTCCGGCGCGCAAACAAAGGAACCGCGAAGCCTTAGGGGCTGACCATTCGTATTGGGGCGATTGGTTAGGCTGTTTCTAGGGGTTGTCAGAATCTGGTTGGTGGTCTCCATTTAACCCACCACCTTAGGCATGACTTTGAAAAAATCACGGGGCCACCTATTCGTCACTGAAGACTGGAGCTTTCGGGTTTGCTGGAAAGGGCGGCCCATGACCAAAAACAGAGATGCTTTTCCCTTACCTGGACATTTGGGACCTGAGCCGGGCCCTTTTTTTTTAACGGCCGGGCGCGGTGCAACTCGGTCGCCGCTACCGCCGAGCTGGGGCTGAAGGCAAAACGGTGCCGCTGGAGGGGGCCGATCTGCGAATCTGCGACTCCCGACGGCCACGGCAAATTGCACCTGTCCACTTGGGTGATTAACGGGTTCCACTGTCCACTTGAATTTTAAAGGGTTCCCATGCAAGTAAATGGATCCACTGGGAAGGAGCTAAAGCTAGTTGCACCTTGCTGCGTGTTGTCCGGGCCAAGGCTCCAATATAAATGGCGGCCTTTGCCATGGTCCCCAGGTGGTAGCGGAGGAGGACCTTGAGCGCAACTCAACAGCTCTGCGAAGGCCGTCTGGGTGAATTCCACCGGGCTGTGCGAATCTCACACCAAAACTTGGAGAACCAAACGTGCAGACCACGACTTCGGCGTGTCTTGCTTGAAAGTGTCCATCTCCAATGGCACATGACATTTTTTTGTTAGCCCTTACAGGCCGAAAGCAAACATATTTGCTTTCGGCACGGCGGACGACGCGCGCATCGGATTTCAGGCGAAGCCACACCCCACATGGAGCACTGGCGACAGCACTGATTGAGCTTCTCCTTGTGGCTGGCGCCGTGCAAGCCTCCCGCGGTGTACCACGCCTTGGACGCCAAGAGATGTTCATTCCACAAGGCCCCTTGTTGGCATAGGTGGCCTTTTGGAAAAATAGATGGCCCTGGTAAATGGAATAAACCCCATCTAAGCCAGTGCCATCTATTTGTAACCAACCTCACCTAAAAAGGACACCTATGCTTGTTGGTTCCCCGCTGGGAACCGGCAAGATAACGAATCAAGGAGCAGGTTGAAAGGGGCCTGAAGCGGGGTTCGGTGCTCTTGAGCAGAGCCCTTGGAACAAAAGAGAAACCAGAGAGCCGCAAAATGAATGCTTTGTGCATTGCCCACAGGATGGACTTGTGAAACATGCACGCCAAGCCGGATGCAAGCCTGAGACACTTCAGCTTAGCCGGCCTGCATTTACACACACGCCAAGGTTCAACCCCCATGAAAAGAATGGCCTTGGGACCCAATTTGGATGATGACCATCCTTAGGTACAGAATGATGGTTGCTATGAGCCCAACCGTTATTTCAATGGTGACTATACGAGCCCCAGGGCACATGCATCTCAACACTCCCTGGCTCAAAGCCTGAGGAACCTTGAGTTCTGCATAGGAAACGAAACCAAAACCTGGGAAGGGCTCGGGAACCCAAGACAAGTGCTCACTTCGCCCGAAGCTCCTCGAATGTGGCGTGTTGCCCGGGGTGCCCCTTTAAACTTTAGGCTGCCCCTTTAGGCCTGGGATGATTTCCCGTTCGTCAGGTTCCCTCGGTTTTTTGTGGGTTGGATTAGTGGTTTGGTGATTAAAAAAGGGTTTCCCAGCTACCCTCAAGAGGCAAGGGGGTCAAATCCAACCACCAGTTCCATCACCCGTCACCTGCCGTCTTGTTCAGAACCCAGGTGCCGCGGTGAGGTATGCCACCGCAAACTCCCAGCAGGCCGTAAAGAGGTTCTCAACCCTCAGCGGAATGGCTGAAGAATCAGACCCTGCTTTAAAATAACTCCCCCCCTAAACCAACAAACAAACACGTTGGGAAGACTCAGATTGGACCAAACCTGGAGGTGTGTTTGGGGGTGTTTGGGGGTTGGTGTTTGCGGAGTGGCATCAGTTTCATGAATGAAGAAAAGTCGCTAGACAAGCCCGCGGGCTCCTTAGAAAAAGGGAGGCCACACCTTGGTTCAGAGCCCGTTTTGGGAAGGGGTTGGCTCGGCTTTAGGCTTGGTCTAGTTAGGTGTTTTTTTGCGCACTTGTAGGTCTTGGCTGTTGGCTCCGCTTTCGTTGCACTATGGGCGGGTTTAAGCTTCGTTGAAAGGGGTGGTTTGGGCTTGGGGGAGTTCAGGGCTGGCGAGGAGAAGCTAAGGTCGGGGGCTACAAAAACCTTAGAGCCGAGCAACGGAAAACGGCGGCTGGCCCTCCTGAGCAAAGTTTACGGTAAAGCCATGCTTTCTTTGGAAATCCGCGGCTGGCCGGGATCAGAGGAAGTAAAATAAAAGAGCACGGGCAAACGTCGAGCCTGAGAAAGTTCTGAATCTTCTAGGGGTGCCTCCCCCATTCGGTCCAGGGATCCTTCTTTCCAGAAAACCCCCGAAATCCAGGGAAAAGGCAGGTTATTGAAAAGAACGATGTTTGAAACAAATGGGGAGTCAACCCCTAAAAATCTGGACTTCTTCGGCCAAGCGGCCATACAAACATGCCCACCCAGAAGATGAAGAATCCCAAGTTGGCCGGGCAGTCGTCCTTGCCCTCGCAATGCATACCCATGCTGTGGGTGCCAGCGTTGTAGTACACACCTCCCGACACCCAGCACCCGTGTCTCAAATGAGGAGCCCCAAAATCCGCTTCCAAACAAATCAATTTTAGTGGGCCACATGGAAACCCAACCACTAACTCAAACACCAAGGAACCGGATGGCCCGGCCATTTTGGAGCCCAGTGTGTCTCGGCCTATGCGCGAAGTAGCCAGGAAGAAGAGCATGGCGCAGGAAGAGCATCCTCGAAACCTCGCGGGCGCAACTCGGGGCATATCAAGCGCCAGGTTGGGGGGAGCCTGGCCCGGACTCATGGACTCATGTCCGGCAACTGTGCTAACGGGGTACTGGTGCTTAGCCTCTGACTTGAACCCCCCCCTTGGGGCTTGGCGTGCGTCATCCTGTTGAGACTTTGCAGACAGCCTTGCCAGTCCTGCATAGCTGTGGCGCTGGCTTTTGCCGCAGGTGGCCCGTATTGCTGTGCTGTTAAAACACCACAAGACGCGGCATAATTACACATCACTTGCCAGAAAGAGGAGTAGGCGGGCGCGATCTATTGCGAATCTATGGCATGTGTCGTGCGGTGACAGCATGGGCACAGCTTGCGCACAGCCAGGAAGAAGCGTTTCCATCACGGATTCTGGAAGTAGACGGACAACGGTTGACCAACCGCAACATGACAAGCGCCCATGGAACGCGGAAGCGAAGAAGTCTTGTAGCTGAAAGGCCAGCTCTCAAACGCAGCAGCTCAAGTGCATGGAGGGCGCTTTGTGGTATAAGGCTGCTGCTCTGTTTGGCGATTAACCTAACCCTTGAGGTTGGTGGGCATAGTTCTAGGATCTAAAGGCGCTGGATGCTGCCTCACACCCAGGGGATACATCTGGGCCAATCAGCAAGTCACGTCTACCACCTAATTCAGTCGATCCCCTTCTGAGGCGTTGCATGTATGGTAAGGAACCCTATTTAGCGCCCCAGATCTTTCACAAAACCAAGACGACTGAGACCCATCTGCGCCGAGCAGCAGAAGCACAAGGCATGGCCCAAAGTGCAGCATCGGCATCTCCATCACGCAGGTGCAAGACCTGGGCACCACTTGCAAATCCCCGCCACCTTCATGGGCAGGGGCTGGGGGGGGGGCCGTCTAGCCATTCTGTAGAAACGGGGCGTGGGGTTGGGTATTCATTTGGCATTCCCCTGTCAAAAACAACGCAACAAAGCTGGTGGGAGTCGGAAATTGTCCCGTGTCCTTTCATGCCAGCTTCTGCGCACATAAAGCTTGACTCAGACAACGACCATGATTGGCTCCTAGCTACGTTTCTGTGTGTGCTTCAGGGAAGCCCCTCCCCTCCAAAAAAAACGAGGAAACTCGCTGTTTGGGGGTTTCCCTACAATCGTACCCCAAAAAACAAGGTACCGGCTGCTTTGGCGGATCCGTGGATGTCCTCTTTAAAGAGCCCCAACAAGCACCGGCGAGTGCTTCAGGGTCGGTCTCTTTTTGAGGCTCGGCAACCCTTGCTTCTTGGTTTTGAGTGGACGTCAAAAGGCATCCCGCATCGGGGCCCCGGCATTTGAATGCAGGCCGCAGCTTTCGCTAGGTCGTAGGAATGCGTCCCCGCCAGCATCGCCAAAAAAATGCCTGCACGAATCTGCCGCGTCAACATGAGCTTGAGGCGTGAGATTTCTTCAAGCGGATTGGTTTGTGGTTGTTCGTTTAAATGCCCCCACTCCCCCTTGAGTGCCAACAGCGGTGGACTCCATAGTCGGCGTATCCTCGCTTGGGACACGCATCAAACCACAAGGGATGGCAGGCCATTCCCTCTTTCAGCCAGTGAGCACATTGGCTGATCCGGGATTGCAACATGAAATGATTGATTGCCCTTCACGGTGCCATGGAATCGCCGGAAAGTCCAAAGCTTTTAGATTTTAGAGGAAAATCCTTTTCCGGGACCCCCCGGTTCCATCGCATCTGCACATTTTACTATTCCTCCAAGACATGAACCCACAAATCCCTAAGTAAAGGATCTTTACCACGGTTTTCGCGTGGCGCTACCCCGAATCGATGCGCTCGCCCACAAAGTGGGCAGATGGCAACGACGCGTGCCGCGCGCCTGCGATGATGAGCCCCAGGCAGGGCAACAGCGCAGCCTCGGAGCGGCGCGGCGCCTCGACGTCCTTTGTTTGGCGCTGGCTCCGTCTTGTTGGCTGAAAAGGGAAACGACCAGGGAAAAAGACAGAAAGAAAAACAACATGTGGGGTCCGAATCCGTTTTCATTGTTTTTTTTAGTTACGCCCCCAGTTGCACGGACCTGGATAAGCTTTGGGTAAGCCCCATGGCCCCTCTCCATAGTCCATAAAAGTGAAAACTTGTGCGCCAGTTCGAGCAAAATGCTCGAATTTCTGATCTGCAAGCTCCATACCTTCAACAACCATCCCTACGGAACAACCACTCCCAGCGGCTCGGAACACATACCTGACCCCAAAGAGTGGACGACGCTCCGGTGCGCACCTCATGTTCCAAAAGAAGGACGGCAAACCGTCAACTTCTCCGCCCATCATCGCCCTCCCTGATTTTTGCCAAAACCGAGCCCGCCCAAATGATTGGGTGATATTGAGTGACCACGGGTTCTAACAGATCGGTTCTGGGATGACCACCTAAGGCGAGTCTGAGAGAGGGTGTGGCCCCATTTCTCCCCAACCTGTTCAGGGACTTTTTTCAAAGGGAGTGCTCCAAGACCCGGGCATTTTCGGTTTGAGGCTACCCTTGAAATGGTTCCCTTAAAACTTCCATTTCATCAAGACCCCAGGTCAAAAATACAAAATATGTCCGGTAGTGATGAATTGCTTTTAAGACCAAGGGAGAAAACAACAAACTCTTAAGCAAATGCAGGAGGCACAGGGAACTGAAGCCATCATGGCGCAAAACCTCGCGAATCGTATCCAACAAGGCCCCCGGCGTGGCGGTGGCCGAACCAGAGGTAGACGGCCCAGCCCCAAGGTACCTCACCGAAGGACCCTGAGGTATTCGGATCGATCACCCCGTCCGAAGGAGCCACTCAAAGGCCCCCAGCCCCCCTCTCCTCCCCTCCCTCCCGCCACTCCCCAACCCCCCTGCCCCCTCCCGCCCCACAAAAAAAAGGAGGCTCTATAGTTTGGATCGCCCTCTTGATGGGGGGCACCCCTCCCTCCCCCTCCCGCCCCCGCCACAAAAGAAAAAGAAGACAAGAACCAAACAAAAAAAACGACCAGGGGTTCGATTTCGATCCGGGGCGCCCTTGGCGGGACCTGCACAGGTGTTCTTGCCATGGTTTCTTGGCCGGGCGTCATAACAACGTGTTGGCAGGGAGACTCGCCGCGTGTTTCCAAGGCTTGGAATCTCTTTTCTTTTTCAGCCCCCCGCTCACTTGGTTGGGATTGATTGGCGTTTGGAGAAGCCGATCCAAACCACCAGCTGGGGTTTGACTTTTGGGACTCTCAAAGGAGATTTTCGGGGCATGCGCGGAACCTAGAGACCGGCCACTTGAAATCTCTCCAATGGTGGTTCCTGCGCACGGCTCCTTGCCTTGTTCTGACTGCCCGCTTGCGAAACAATCATCGAAATGCACAGGAAGGTTGGGGAAACCATCATCAACGTCAAAAGACAAACTGCCTGTTGGAAACGAGGTACGGTGCGGCAACTTCTCCCATACAAATCAACGAGAGGAGCTACCACAAGGAGGTTCCTGTAAAAATGGATCATTGTTGCACTCAGAAGGCCCAAGCAAAGGATCACAACTACCTTGATCAAAAGGATACCATCCAAAGTCAGTCCCAGTCGCACTCAAAACCGATATTGACGAGCAAAATCCATCCGGCCGATGGTTCTGGCAGCACCACTACCCCCTACTTCATCTACCACCAAATTCTTCAGGGACTGAGCTACCCGAAAACTCGGCTTGGGGCAATCCTCAAGAAACCCCTGCCTCGACCTCACCCCTGAGCTTCCCAAAAAGTGCAATGTGAAGAACATGGAGGCGTGAGGGATTCACGTTCACCCAGGATTGCATGGGAGCATGATGTTCCCGTGGCTCCCCTATGGCCCCCACACAAGGCTCAAGCATGTGGTCAACCTTAGAGCTGCACTTCCTTTCTGTCCAGGGATCCTTCATAATTTTTAGCGGCGTCCCTTTGATTTCACTTCCAAACAGCTCCGAAAAGGGTTCCCACACTCATCTGCGGAATCCCCTAGAATGATTGTCAATACATATGGAACTGTATATATATATATATACATGCATATATATATATATATATTTATATGCAGTTCTTTGATTGTTACAAGCAACGATTCAACCTGCTTGTTCCAGTACATCCCTCCGCCCACGCAAAAGGTGAATCACCCCAAAGGGGGGCTTAATGGAAAAGCCAGCTTGGCCCCTGGGGTTCAGATGTTGGGTGAGCACATTTCACCACTTAGTGTTCAGCCTTGTCCTCCAAATTTGGGGTTCTCGGGCCATTCTTTTTGCAGAAGGCAACGAACCCTGGCCGAATTCCGTCACCGTACCCTTAGTTGGTTTGTTTGGAGTGGCTGGGGGATTTGGCCGTGGATCAAAAATAGGTACTGGGTCAAAAATAGGTACCCCAAAATGAAATCTGGTAAATGGAAATATGGACGAAAAGCTGTGGGTCCCTGGTCGTTCAATTTTGACCCACACCCATTTGGCCATGGGTCAAAAGCCCGTACCCCCAGTGAACATCCCAATCCCCATTAATGGTGAATGGAAATATGGACGAAACCTGTGGGTCCTCGGTTGCTTTCTGCTCCCCTGCTCAAAGTTTAACTTTTGGTGGTTTAATACGGAAAACCCATGAGTTGGCAAAAAGCTCCAAGTCCTAACATCCCTTGGCAAAAATGCAACAAGGGCGGCTGATGATTCAATTTTGACCCACACATACCCACACCCATTTGAACCGATGCCAGGCTAAGTGGGAAACCACCCCCAGGCTCCAAACCGCTGACTCCAAACCTGCCGCCTGCCGGGGCGCCAGGACGATGACGCGGATGCCCACTCGGGACAGGCACTCGGCGTGGTCCTGCCGACAGATTCGAAAGGCAGCTTCCGACCCTGGGAGTACGCCCTGGCATCTTGGTGCCCTGTTGATAGACAAATAGATAGATAGATAGATAGATAGATAGATAGATAGATAGATAGATAGATAGATAGATAGATAGATAGATAGATAGATAGATAGAATAGATAGATAGATAGATAGATAGATAGATAGATAGATAGATAGATAGATAGATAGATAGATAGATAGATAGATAGATAGATAGATAGATAGATAGATAGATTAGATAGATAGATAGATAGATAGATAGATAAGAAAGAAAGAAAGAAAGAAAGAAAGATAGATAGATAGATAGATAGATAGATAGATAGATAGATAGATAGATAGATAGATTAGATAGATAGATAGATAGATAGATAGATAGATAGATAGATAGATAGATAGATAGATAGATAGATAGATAGAATAGAATAGAATAGAATAGAATAGAATAGAATAGAATAGAATAGAATTAGAATAGAATAGAATAGAATAGATAGAATAGATAGAATAGATAGAGTAGATAGAATAGATAGAATAGATAGAATAGATAGAATAGATAGAATAGAATAGAATAGAATAGAATAGAATAGAATAGAATAGAATAGAATAGAATAGAATAGAATAGAATAGAATAGAATAGATAGAATAGATAGATAGCTAGATAGATAGATAGGTAGGTAGGTAAATAGATAGATAGATAGATAGATAGATAGATAGATAGATAGATAGATTAGATAGATAGATAGATAGATAGGTAGGTAGGTAGGTAAATAGATAGATAGATAGATAGATAGATAGATAGATAGATAGAATGATAGAATAATAGAATAGATAGAATAGATAGAATAGATAGAATAAATTGAATAGATAGAATAGATAGAATAGATAGAATAGATAGACTAGATAGAATAGATAGAATAGATAGAATAGATAGAATAGATAGAATAGATAGAATAGAATAGAATAGAATAGAATAGAATAGAAAGATAGATAGATAGATAGATAGATAGATTAGATAGATTAGATAGATAGATAGATAGGATAGGATAGGATAAGATTAGCTAAGCTAAGCTAAGCTAAGCTAAGCTAAGCTAAGCTGAGCTGAGCTGAGCTGAGCTGAGCTGAGCTGAGCTAAGATAAGATAAGAGAAGATAAGATAAGATAAGATAGATAGATAGATAGATTAGATAGATAGATAGATAGATAGATAGATAGATAGATAGATCGATAGATAAGATAAGATAAAGATAAATACAAAGGTAAAGATAAATATAAAGATAAGATAAGATAAGGTAAGGTAAGGTAAGATAAGGTAAGGTAAGATAAGGTAAGATAAGATACTATTAGATTAGATTAGATTAGGTAAGGTAAGATAAGGTAAGATAAGATTAGATTAGATGTATAGGATAGATTAGATAGATAGATAGATAGATAGCTAGATAGATACATAGATAGAGAGGGAGAGAGTTAGAGAGAGAGACAGAGAGATTGGGAAAATAGATGGATTTCCCTGGTATATGGAATGAATTCTAAACCAGTGGAACCCATCTATTTCTCGTCAAACCAACCTAAAAAGGACGCCTATGCATTCAAGAACAACGACCCAGAAATTACCTATACTTGGGTGATTCTCCAAAAGGGCGCAATCCGAGGGTGCAATAGATATTTTAAAAAAATGGAACCATGGGTTCATGCTGTGGACGACATCCTCTTTGCACCTCTTAGGCGGTTCTTTGGGCATTTTTTCTTGGACCTGCTGCGTTCCATGCTAGTTGCCGAGAGGGTGGGGCGGGGGGGGGGGTTCTGGTTATATTCAGGGGTAAAAATATCGAGGGTTCACACACTGGGGAACTTTGAGGTTCAGGTCGCACCCAAACTTGTTGCAAACAGACAGCGGCTCAGAAACAGAAAGGTCCAGCACTTGTTGGTTGCCGTGTCTCTTAGCTGTTCAGGTTGCACCGAACCTTATCACTTGAAACAGTGGAAAACATAATCGCTCGCCAAGCGATCTAAGCAACAACTTGCCAAACAATCAAGATTGTAGGTACGTTGGGGTGATCAGTGCAAGTTGGCAGGAGGCTTGCCATAGCGCAAGCCTGCGCCCTGCAAACATGTTCTGTGAGCAATGCGGGCACCGAGCCGCCAAAACAAAAAACGGAAGGACCGCTGTTAGTACATACATGTGACTGTCAGCTCAGCAAAAGTTACTAGGCCGCCTGAAAACTATTGCGACACTTTAGTTCAAGTCAGAAAGCAATCGGAAGGGCCGGGAGATACCTTTGCAATCAGCTTTGGTACACACATGTGTATATATATATATGTATGTGTGTATATGCATGTACCTTTATATACATATATATATATATATACAAGGGCACATTTCCGACATTCCCTACTTGCGACTTGGAGACAAGCTCAGACAGTGGTGCCAAGCATGTTCGAACATGCACCTTTCTGCTCAATCCCGGCCGCATGTCTACATGCCACGTATGCCACATGCGTGCTTCCCCCATTTCCTGCAAAGTGAATAGCTTGGCTGACATGCACAGCTTCATCACACTCCCAGCCTTGAGGACGGACACGTAAACTCAGTTGCACGCAGCAAAACCTTCTTGACCGCATGTGGGCACCAATGAATCGCCCCCCCCCCCCCACCATGATCATCTGCAGGACTAAACCCTCTGCATAGCTCGCGGAAAAAACAATGCCTTGCCCATCCTTCCGCCCAGACCGGAGTCAACGAAAACAACCGTGCCGCTGGCAACGGAAAAATGTGAAAAGGTGGCCGCTGGTTTCCCTTGTGTTCCCACGGGTGTCCACTCCGAAACCGCCTCCAGGTGTGTTTCCTGCATGGTTTCCACTTTGAAACTACCTCCAGGTGTGTTTCCCATGCTTTTCCACCCCGAAACTGCCAGGGGTTTGGGATGTCCATCCGGTCCCCCCTTTTCCCTGACGATTCAGTGAAACTCAGCTTGGCTCCAAGTGGCTCAAGGAAAGGGCGACCCCAAGTAGCCCAGCCTCGGACAGTTGGGCCGAGGTCCTGGTTAAACATGGGTTCGCATTTTTTGAGTTGGCACCAAAGCCTGGTCTCGTTGATTGAAAGGGAATGTGTTTTTCCAGAACCTATTGAGGTTGGTTGAAAGGGCTTTTGATTTGTTGAGTTGGCACCAAAGCCGTTTTTCAGGCAGGTTGATAGGGTTTTTTGTTTTTGTTTTGTCGGTACCGAAGCCTATTCAGGTTGGTTGAAAGGGTGTTTTGTTGTTTCTGGGTTGGTACCAACGACCAAAAGTTGGTACCAAAGCCTTTTCGGGTCTCGCCCCATTCTGACACGCACTCACATCATATCCTATTTCAAAAATAGCGTGTTTCAAAAACGCTCCTTCGATTCCCCGACAGACGCCAAACATCTCCTGACAACTGAAAGGCCAACTTGGCAAGCCCTTGGGATTCGGATTCACTTGGCTTGATGTTCGCCTAGGACTTTTGTCGGGAGATCGGACTATGGTCCTCTGTCATAAGTTTAATAAGAGAGAGAGAGAGAGAGAGAGGGAGAGCAGAAAAAAAGCTGGGGCATCCCTTTCAACAGGGCAGCAGCTTCTAGCAAACCCCCATCAAGCCAAGCCAAAGCATCTCCGAAAGGCACTGGTCACTCACTCTTTGCATGGGCCCTCCTGACTATGTCAAACCCAAGCGGCCCAAGGTTTTGCCAACCGACTCGGCCCAAGCTAACGCAGCCCGTGGATGCCCAAACTTTCGAAGGGGCAACGCCTTTGAACGCCGAAACGCGGCTGAGGCGCTATCAGGAAGGGCACCAGCAGCCGCCACAGCGTGATCAAGATCAATCCGATGTTCAAGGTGTTCCACTCCTCAGAGGAGTAGTGCGAGAGCGAACCATAAGTGGCCTTTTGGAAAAATAGATGGGTTTCCCTGGGAAATGGAATGACCCCATCTAAACCAGGAATCGCCCTCTATTTTTTAAGCAAACCAACCAAAAAGGACACCTATGCAGCGAGTGAGCAAGCAGCATTGGTCCAGCTGCCCCCCGCCCCACACTCTGTTCACTGAGAGTCTGTCTGCGCATCCGATGCGCAAGAGAGTCACACATTCAGCAACACAACAAGGAGCCTTGGCCGGCTTCTCGCCTGACATGCCGACCCAGAGATTCATGAACCTGGCTGGGGGCTTTCAAGAGAGAAGGACTCCCTTTCACCCGGAAGACCTGCCGGCTAACCCCCAAAAAACACTTTCCGGGCGTTCCCGAATCGCCGGGCCGCTTCGGCCAGGGACAAGCGGAGAGTGAACTTCCCCAAGACTTGGTGCAACTCCAGGTCCGACGGCCTCAGAAAACACCCCAGGCCGTCGGAGCCGAGGCTGGGCCCAGGTCTCGCTGACATGTTGGGTCCAGGTGGTGGCGTTTTGAAGGCGGCAAAATGTTGGTCAGAATCCTTTATAAAACCAGGATCATGTTGAATCATGCTGATCTCGTTTGACCATAGGAAAGGGGGTGCACATGCTGCCAACCCACAATCTTGACTTCTCTCCTCTCCTCTCCTCCTCCCTCCCGCCCTCCCTCCCTCCCTCCCTCCCTCCCTCCCTCCCTCCCGCCCTCCCTCCCTCCCGCCCTCCCTCCCTGCCTCCCTCCCTCCCTCCCCCTCGCTCCCTCCTCCCTCCCTATCTCTCTAGTTCCATCCAGGCCCCAAATAGGAGCACTGTTGACAAAGGAAAGTCCTGACCGTTTTTGGGGGCGGTGCGGGCACTGGCGGCGCGGAGTCTGTGCCGCCCGACTTGCACCAGCCGAAGACGTGAGGGAAGGCAATGGACGTCTCGTAATCCTGCGCCTTGCCACGCGAGAAAAAAATATACTAGAGGACGATTGGCCCGAAAGCATTTTTGCACAGGTGCTCATCCAGCCGCGGAGACACCTTTTTACATCGCTGCGGCGAGCGTGTCTGCACGCGGCGATGCTCAATGTGTATGGTCACATGAGAGCTCCATCTCATCATCCTAGCTTCCTCTCGAACTGCGCCGCGCGATTTCTCACGAAAGTGGTCTGCGCAAGCTGCATTGTTCCAGGCTGCTGCGCGCAAGTTGCTCTCTGCAAGCTGCTGCACGCAAGTGCTCTGTGCAAGTTGCTCTGCGCAAGTGCTCTGAGCAAGTTGCTCTGCGCAAGTGCTCTGCGCCAGTTGCTCCGCGCAAGCGCTTTGCTCATGTGCTCTGCGCAAGTTGGTCTGTGCAAGTTGCTCTGCGCCAGTTGCTCCGTGCAAGCGCTTTGCGCATGTGCTTGTGCAAGTTGGTCTGTGCAAGTTGCTCTGCGCAAGTGCTTTGTGCAATTGCTCTGTGCAAGTTGCTCTGCGCAATTTGCTCTGCGCAAGTGACTCTGCGCAAGTTGCTCTGCGCAAGTGCTGCCGGATCTGTGGGAATGTACTTCGCGTATTATTTTTTACTTAAAAGTTGCGATTTTCCAGCCGGAGCTGCGGGGGTGTGCTCAGCGGACTACGTTTGTGCTTAAAAGTTGCGATTTTCCAGCCTGAGCTGCGGGAGCACGCTCCGCACACTACGTCTGTACTTAAAAGTTGCGATTTTCCAGCCGGAGCTGCAAAAGCACGCTCCGCGTACTACGTTTGTACTTAAAAGTTGCGATTTTCCAGCCTGAGCCGCATACTACGTCTGTACTTAAAAGCTGCGATTTTCAAGCCGGAGCTGCCGCGGACCAGGGGGGAATCGAACCCGCGACCGCGGGATTGAACTTCCAAAGGCCGCTTCGCGAGCAAGAAAACTGCACGGCGCCACAGCGAGACCGCTTCGACACGCACG